TGATAAATAACCAGAAATAACTTGATTTTCTGGTTAATTAAGAAATCTAAACTTTTGTGTTTTTGTTTGTTGAGTCGATTAGACCATGCCCATTTTCAAGTTATTTCAAAATATTTAGGCAAGTTAGCTGGCTAACTAATTGATCCTGCTTTGTAGTATACCACTCTGGTCTGTTTATATAGTAAACAGAAAGACCAGCAGAAGAGGAACAATAACAAAACCAATGTTAATGTCCAGATGCACTATCCTCCCCACAACCTACCCATATGGGGTCCGTCTTTCATTTAGCCCCTGCAGAGCCATCCCAGTGTTTGCGTTCACTTCCTTGATGTTCTGCATTTCCTCTCTTTTTATTTATTTATGGCCTTGCTCCATACCTTCATTTGGCCCACCTACTACTACCACTGCCCCTCTTCACTAGCTACAGCCCCACAACTAAAGTCTTCTCGACGGACGGCCAACCTCTCCAACCCCCCAACCAGCCTGCCTTCTTGAGGGAGTAGTCATCTTAAAGTAAACACATACTGATTTGGCTCTGCTTCGGGAATCAAAATCAAACATACGCATGCATGTCGCGGTGGAGTGCATGTCGGAGGACCGCACTGGAATGTGTATGTGAACTGATCCCCGTCTGTACCCCCCTCACCCCATCCTACCTGCCTCCACTTGGAATAAATCCTTGTAGAAACTCCCCCTGGAACTGAAGGCATTAAAGCCTATGACTGGGAGTATCTCGTAGTTCTTCCAGTTGCCTAGAATGCCTGGGCGCTTAGGCTAGTGCACCTAACAAGGCAAAGCAGACAAGCAGTGGAAAGATGGATGGGAACCCCGCTAGCTTAGCTCTGTCTTATTGATGTGTGAGGGTATGCGAGTGCAAGGGTGGGTTGCCAGTTAACGGGAGGCACCCATGTACGGTGTTGGAAGCTCGAAGCCCTTGTTTTCTTGCCCCCTGTTTTGGATACAGGCCCAGTCAGCCGCTGGAGACACGTGAGCGCATTGATTCGAAGGCTTCAAGGCATATTGCTATTGCGGTCAATCCCTCTGTGTGAATCTGAATCTCTATTTATAGTCTCCACTCCCCACAAAAAATACATTCAGTATGTTTTACTTTAAAAATTATTAAATAATGGTAAAGGAAAAGCTCACATTGTTTCACTCATTGAACCATTTTTGTCCAGCCCTTTTAAATTAAACAGCCAATCAAATAGCTTCTATATTTATTCTGGGTGGGTTATCTTTATTTACCATGAGGGCTGAATTCATAGAGAGGAGTGGAGTGATACATGAATAATAGGCTACACAGGCTGGTAGGTGTAGACTGCAGTATAGATGACATTTTTTGGTTGGAACATTTCTCTTTCTAAATTGGAACTCATTCTAATGGTTGACATCAAAAAAGTGGAAATGTAAAAGTAGAACAAAGGAATGATGGCGTTGTCTGTCTGTCTCTGGGGATTTTGGAACTGGACAGCGTAAGCTTCCACTGCTCACTGACCTCCTTTCTCTGTCATTGTTTTTGCCCACCTCATCATACCTCAAAGTGGAGGTCCGTCTGTCTGCTTTTCCTAATCTGCACCCAATGGTCCCAAAGGACATCGCCACTTGCGCCAGTGAGCTCGTTCCCTTGGTTAATGAAGTCGGATGATAAAGAGACTGCATGAGCATTTCCAAAATGTCACTGAAGAACTGTAGTACTACAAATAATAGCTTCATCGCATAGGAATATAGCTCAAGTACAATGTCCAGATCACATATAAATCTATAGTTCAGTGTAACAGTATGTGAAATTGATTTGAGCCACGCAGACTGACATAACAAGGACAAACCTCTGCTGCCAGCAATGAGTTAGGCCTGGCTCATTTCTAGATGCCACACACCATTAATCTCAAACTCTCCCAAATCACAGAATCCAATATCCAGTACTGACATCCATTCTATAGATTTCAACTAAAACAACACTACCCTGCCTCCCAGCCAAATGTTGCTCCCAGACCATGTCACTACGTTAACATTTGCGCTTTTCCCTCATTGATTACCGTTATGTTTGGGTGAGCGACCAGCTCTGTGTGCCCCGCTGGTTCGTGGAACCAACTGTAGCACACATCGGTTCTGTCATTAACCAGCAGTGGCGAGACTGTAGCCTACATTCAGGCTGACGTTTGATGGACGGTGTCATCTGTTCATTTGTGACCACATTTGTCTGTTTAGTTTTTTTCTTTCCCCCTTTTTAGATGGTCTTATTTTAAAGCCTTCAAGGGACTGATTGATGCTTTAACACAATGTTTGTGCAACTCTTGATAATTGCTAATGTGTTTGTATTTGAATTGTGTCGGTCTCTACATAACAACATAATGCTTAATTTAGTGCTGTATGTACGTTTTAAAAATGTATTTTTAATTTGAGACATATTACAATCAAGCGTCCGATGCAGTGCACCATCATACTTTAGCTTGTCCTAACATCCAGCATCAGTCAGACCCTACTGCAGCATCAGTCAGACCCTACTGCAGCATCAGTCAGACCCTACTGCAGCATCAGTCAGACCCTACTGCAGCATCAGTCATACCCTACTGCAGCATCAGTCAGACCCTACTCCAGCATCAGTCAGACCCTACTGCAGCATCAGTCAGACCCTACTGCAGCATCAGTCAGACCCTACTGCAGCATCAGTCAGACCCTACTGCAGCATCAGTCAGACCCTACTGCAGCAACAGTCAGACCCTACTGCAGCATCAGTCAGACCCTACTGCAGCATCAGTCAGACCCTACTGCAGCATCAGTCAGACCCTACTGCAGCATCAGTCAGACCCTACTGCAGCATCAGTCAGACCCTACTGCAGCATCAGTCAGACCCTACTGCAGCATCAGTCAGACCCTACTGCAGCATCAGTCAGACCCTACTCCAGCATCAGTCAGACCCTACTCCAGCATCAGTCAGACCCTACTGCAGCATCAGTCAGACCCTACTGCAGCATCAGTCAGACACTACTGCAGCATCAGTCAGACCCTACTGCAGCATCAGTCAGACCCTACTGCAGCATCAGTCAGACCCTACTCCAGCATCAGTCAGACCCTACTCCAGCATCAGTCAGACCCTACTGCAGCATCAGTCAGACCCTACTGCAGCATCAGTCAGACCCTACTGCAGCATCAGTCAGACCCTACTGCAGCATCAGTCAGACCCTTGATGGCCAATAGGAAGTATACATACTCATATGTAAAGCAGTATGAAATTGTAGTTCTAAACCGTATCCACATGATTCGGCTTTGTAGATCCGATAACTGACTCAAGCCTTAGAACCAAAGTTGTCCTCTTTTGCCGAGGCAGGAGTACTGAAGCGGAAAAAAGGATGTGTCACAAGCTGTTTTCATCTCACGCTTTCATGATCTGTTTGCTCTCAAGCGGTCGGACATCAAGGCCATGCATTTAATGAGGGCTCTTTTCTCATATTCCATCTCTTCCTCATTTTATTTGGGTGTTTTTAATAATGGAGTAGGGCATCATTGGGGGCGGATGGCATCGGTTGCTCCGTCTTGGGCCTCCTCAGTGTGCCGTGTCCAATCATAGCATGGCTGCCTCTGTAGTAATTGCAAATAACCTTTACACCTTGATGTTATGAATTCGAAATGCTTGTTTTAAACAGCATCTGTTTTCTGTCTGGTCAAAGTATTGGGGTCTATCTAAAGATCGTGCGCTGCTTTTGAGCAGGGACTATGTAGGGAATAGGGTGCCATTTGGGCCGTATTCAGTATTTTCCAACATGATATTAATATACCCCCGGTGTTAAATCTGTTGATGTTTACTATAGGAAATGGTGAATTAAGGATATTAAAAGTAGGTATGGATATACATTTCTCCTTGTATCCTATTTTGAAAGAAATCCTCGGAATAATGTAACTACCTTGACATAACCCCGTCCCCCGTCTCCCAAATAAGGGCAATTCCACAGTAAAGTTGTCACATATTTCTAATTCGTATCACTTTCAAATACATACAGTACTTATCAGGAAGGTTGAAATGTTGGTCACATGTTCACACGGTTAATCACATTCCAAGATGACTAACCAAATACTGGTTATGTTGGCAGTTTTATGCTGTTTTCCAATATCCTGCCCTCCTCAATTTAGAAATGTAAATGACTCCAAAGTCCAGAGGCAGTGTGATAAATAGTTGACTTTGAGAGTGGTAGGATGATTCATATTACATTATTACTGCTCTTAAGACCTAGAAGGCATTCATTGTGAGTTTAAGAAGAAAAGTGTTCACTCAATGCATGCCATGTTTATTTTTTTATTTTTTGCATAGGCTATGTGTCATGTTACATGAATACAGATCAGATAACTGAGATAAATCTTTCTAATTCAACAAGGTTGTGGGACATTTACAGGCATGTAGCTTGCAGCACCTAGAGCCATTAAATAATTAATTTTGAATTATTGCAAATGAGCCTTTGAACTTGAAAAGGCCTTTTAATCTTTCAGCCACAGCATTCCCAATGTGTTAAATGCTGCCGACAACCCCGTCAAAGCAATACAGGTGTCTTTTGTTCTTATATTGGTACATGGACATTGTTTGAAGGCCTTTAGTCTCGATTGATTAAACCGAAATAGCTATGACGATTTGATTTTCATTATGTTTAGGCACAAATTGAAGGTGAAATGCAATTTTAGATCTGTTTTTATTTTGATGTTATAATTTAATGAAATAACCATGTTGTTATGTCTCACTTTAAGATCTGAATCCACAAAGGATCACCATGTGGCCGTCATTGGCTTGATGTGTACCAGGAAAGGATCTTCACCTTCTATGCTGCACTGTCCTTCAGAGACCCAAGCAGATCTGTCAATCTAATCCCTTTCTATGGATTATGGACCTGGCGAAGTGAAACCCCAGATTTGGGTCTTTGTCTAATACTGCCTGATAGCAGTTTCCAGAACAAATGGCTTGTATTGGAAAGCAGTCATGAAATTTGGCACTATTAGGTGCCTGTACACAGGATATGAATGCGCCTTGCCTCTGGACTGAGGACATAGCGAATCTTAGTGGAGTAGCTGGCGAACCAAAGGGCTCCAATTATTTGATGCAGTCGGACAACCCATTCAGCAAGAAACTCCAAGCGTTAAAGGGGCCCATGGGACCTCCAAACGCCAACGTGCAGGGAACGCCAGCCATGCCCAAGATGGGCGTCCGCGCGAGGGTGTCGGACTGGCCCCAGCGAATGGACGGCTGGGAGTCACAGCCGCCCCGCTATGACAGCCTGGTGCCGACCTTCCAGAATGGTCCGTCAAAACTTACCACAGAGGCCATCCTCCAAAAGAGCCAGGAGTTGCTCAGTACCGAGTTCCCAGAGACCAGGTATCCGCTGTGCGACCTCCTGAGCCACTCCCCCATGAAGGGCTTCCCCGGGATCAAGAGGAGCAACAGCGAGGTCACCATTAGCGACATCTGCGCCGAGGACTTGGATCACACCATCATCAACCCCAACACTGGGGCCACCTTGCGCCGTGAGTATGGGAGCACGTCCTCTCTCGACAAGCAGGGTCTTTCCGGCGCCAGCGAAGGCTTTGTGGGCAACCTGAGAGGCTACCATGTGGAGGACTGCTCTGACCAACCCAGTGCGCCGGCTCCACAGAGTTTCCCGGAGCTGCTGCGTCTCAACACCACCCTGTCGCCCAGCCTACAGACGGCTGCCCAGATCGCGCGAGGTGACATTGTCTGCATCCCAGGCTACGACTACGTGGACAGCTCCCTGCTCTACAGCCGTGAGCGGGAGAGGTCCTTCATCCAACGCATGAAGGCGGAGAAGGCCGATACCTCCATCTTCCGGAGGCTGCGGAACGTGAAGAGTGAGGGCGAGTGCCTGGACCAGGAGGACGGAGGGCGCTTCGGAAGGCCCCTGAGCTTCCAGAAGTGCTTCGCCCACTATGACGTGCAGAGTGTCCTCTTCAACATCAGCGAGGCGGTGGCCAACCGTGCCGACCTGGGTCGAAGGAAGAACACTACCACAGGGGCGTCGGCCGCCTCTCAGTGCCAGGCCCCGGCTTCTGGGTTGGGAGACAGTGCGACGCCCATGCCCTTCTGTGAGTCGCCCGTAGACAGCTGCGAGGACCTGGGCCACAAGGCCAGCATAGACACAGATGAGGGTGATGGGAAGAGCAATACCCTGGTACTCAGCTGCCCGTACTTCCGTAACGAGACCGGTGGCGAGGGCGAGAGGAAGGTGGCCCTGAGCAAAGCCAGCAGCGCCAGCTATGGGAGCGGAGACTATGCTCCTAACTATGGGGGTGGAGGACAAGGCTACTCTGTGGAATCATCGCTCAGCACCCGGTGCACCAACACAGGAGTGTCGGTGCTCGAGGTGCCAAGGGAGAGCCAGGCCTTCCACAGGGACATGTACAAGCGCTACATAATCGAACACATCGACCAGGGGGCCTACTACTACCACAAGTACTTTTACAATAAAGGTAAGAGAGGCATTGACTACCTACCTAATACTAAATTGTTTCCTTATTATAAAGTACTCTAGCAACTTAAAGAGAGCGCCGGTTTTTCATGTTCATTTGCCATGTGCTTTGTTGTGTTTACAAATGCACAATGTTAGCAAACGCCATAGAATCTGGTCATGTGTAGCTAAATGTGAGCATTGCTGAAAATCTATGATCTGCTCATTGAATGAGGAAATAATTTACATAAGTATTCAGACCCTTTACTCAGTACTTTGTTGAAGCACTTTTTGGCAGCGATTACATCATCGAGTCCTTGGTACACCTGTATTTGGGGAGTTACTCCCATTTCTTCCCTGCAGATCATCTCAAGCTCTCTCAGGTTGGATGGGGAGCGTTGCTGCACAGCTTTTTTCAGGTCTCTCCAGAGATGTTCGATCGGGTTCAAGTCCGGGCTCTGGCTGGGCCACTCAAGGACATTCAGAGACTTGTCTCGAAGCCACTCCTGCATTGTCTTGGCTGTGTGTTTAGGGTCGTTGTTCTGTTTGAAGGTGAACCTTCGCCCCAGTCTGAGGTCTTGAGTGCTCTGGAACAGGTTTTCATCAAGGATCTCTCTGTACTTTACTCCGTTCATCTTTCCCTCGATCCTGTCTAGTCTCACATTCCCTGCCGCTGATAAACATCCCCACAGAATGATGCTGCCTCCACCATACTTAACCGTAGGGATGGTTCCAGGTTTCCTCCAGATGTGATGCTTGGCATTCAGGCCAAAGAGTTCAATCTTGGTTTCATCAGAACAGAGAATCTTGTTTCTCATGGTCTGAGAGTCCTTTAGGTGCCTTTTGGTAAACTCCAAGCGGGCTGTCATGTGCCTTTTACTAAGGAGTGGCTTCCATCTGGCCACTCTCCCATAAAGGCCTGATTTGGTGGAGTTCTGCAGAGATGGTTGTCCTTCTGGAAGGTTCTCCCGTCTCCACAGAGCAACTCTGGAGCTCTGTCAAAGTGACCAGCGGGTTCTAGGTCACCTCCCTGACCAAGGCCCTTCTCCCCCGATTGCTCAGTTTGGCCAGGTGGCCAGCTTTAGGAAGAGTCTTGGTGGTACCAAACTTCTTCCATTTAAGAATGATGGAGGCCACTGTGTTCTTGGGGACCTTCAATGCTGCAGAAATGCTTTGGTACCCTTCCCCAGATCTGTGTCTTGACACAATCCTGTCTCGGAGCTCTATGGACATTTTCTTTCGACCTCATGGCTTGGTTTTTGCTCTGACATGCACTGTCAACTGTGGGACCTTATATAGACAGGTGTGTGCCTTTCCAAATCATGTCCAATCAGTAGAATTTACCACAGGTGGACTCCAAGTTGTAGAAACATCTCAAGGATGATCAATGTAAACAGGATGCACCGTAGCTCAATTTCGTGTCTCATAGCAAAGGCGCTGAATACTCATGTAAATAAGGTATTTCTGTTTGGAATTTTTAATGAATTTGCAAACATTTCTAAAAACCTGTTTTCGCTTCGTTATTATGGTGTATTTTGTTTAGATTGCTAAGGATTTTTTTTCCAAATCAATTTTAGAATAAGGCAGTAACAAAATGTGGAAAAGGTCAAGTGTCTGAATATTTTCTGAAGGCACTGTGTGTATATATATAGTGTACTTTAAGATGACTAAAACTAAATCGCAACTGTGTAGAAATGTTAATGGACCTACATTTATAAAATTTCTTGACTGTGTCCAGTTCGGTAATGATCATACAAATTAAATCTAGACAGTCAGGGAGTATCGAAAATTTCAGGAAAACTTTTTTGCGCTTTTTTGACATGAAGAAATAAAACACATTTTCAGTGCGGCCTGCCAGACCGCATTGAAGTCCGAATGAGGCCCCCGGGGAAAAATTCATTTGACACCCCTGGTCTAGGGAGTGATGAAAAACAGTCGCCCTACCTCTCACCTTTTAATACTTTCTGCTTTTCACTTATGTTTGTTATGCGTTTCATCCTAGGGATGAATTTAATTAAACACGTATTGCAGTTAATGGAACTACAAAGACTATGGTTTTTCTGCAGGTTTTGGGCTGTGCTGGTTTCAGTCAGTGCAGGGTTTTATTGAAGTGAGCTTGTAGTTACATGTCTTTTGCAACCCTACAAGGTCATATGCCTACATGTCAATTAATCAGTAAAGGGACCATTACTACATGAAAATGTATCCGTCTACTCATTGATTAATTGATACATTAGGTCTAGGGTCTCTTTATGGGTTAGCAATGTCAGTGGGTCCATCTATTTGGTGAATTTGATGTATTTTTCTGGATTTGCTAATGTTATAATCTATGATGTGTAGGCCCTATTCATGGAGTTTAAGGAATGCAAAGGAATGTCCAATCATGTCTGTTTTTACCTTTGACCTGTAAGCCAGAGTGCCTAAACCACATTTTAATTTTCATGTGAATTGAATGGAAAATAAAGATTTCGTATGTTATCATAATCCAAACCACAGCTAACGTTTGTGTTGTACCGTCATTTACCATTTACCCTCAGATCACCAGAACTACTTTGGCACGGATGAAAACTTGGGCCCCGTGGCGGTCAGTATCCGCCGGGAAAAGCTGGATGAGGGAAAGGAGGGAGCACAGTACAACTACCGGGTCACCTTCCGGACCAGCGAGGTAAATAATCGAAAAGGGTATATGTCGCTTAAGGCTGAGGGTGTCCTAAAATGTATGCTGTACACAGGTTCTTACTGTGTACTCTCACGTTGCTTACCATTCAGCAGGCAAAATGAATTCTGAAGTGGTAGAATATTGTCATACCTTCATACATAATCAATAATCAATTAATTATATCACAACAAATGGTGTGAAATAGAAAATACCTCTAGATTGAATTCAAACTAAACCAAGTACTTCCACAGAACCAGAACCCCCCCCCATTTAAAATTCAACTCTGTAGATAATCGTAACATAACCAAAAGGTACATCTGTGATGATACACAGTGGACTAGATAAGCAGACATTTTGTATTAGCATACCAAGGGGACATTAAACAACTTTTAATCCGGCAAGTTAATGGAAGTTAAGCTCTTAAAGGGAAAGTTTGATCCCACGGTATGTTAGTTCTCCCATGAGATACTGTAAGTGGGGAGTTCGTGGTTGCACTTCTTATGACACGCTAATGCTAATCTATTTAGTTTTACTAAAAGCTAATTCCCTATGCAACTTAAACTTCTCTCTCCCAGTTCACTGGGTTAACTGCGTGCAGCATAAATTGAAGCTCTTTGGGGAGGCACTCTCTTTTCTTCACTAGTATCCTAGTTTACTATTCCATATATCACCCACGTTTCTTATATAATACAGTAATTTGTCTTTTACATTTTCTTCTTGATGTAGTTGACTTTATATTATTCATAATTTGTATGCATTTTCCATTACAAAAACAGAATACTTCTTTAATAACAACATCATAGCTACATTACTTAAGACAGCCCAACACTTCGATGATTCCCACTCACTGAATGTGTTAAAAACATTATTTTGGATCATGTTGCTCTTGAAAAATGGGTGCAGAAAAGATTCTGACATCCGCACAAAATTTGGGAACCCTTTATTACAACTTTCACGAATGAGCCTTTATAAATGCTTACACTTTATTAATAACTTTCAATGTTGTAATTAAATGCTTATGAATTGTAATGATTGTAATGCCTATAAGTGCTTAATTCTTAAGTCTACGCCGTTCGTGGGCTTCTGAGCTGACATATGGAATTGTTTTAAGAAGGTCATTTACTACTCCAGCCCATAGAAACGCATTGAATTACGCATTCATAAATGGCAAAAAATACACTATTTTTTTATAATAAGGAATAAGGTTTTGAAGTGTCTGGCCTTTATCTAGTTTTATTTACTCAATTGGCACAAAACTACCTCCATACTTCCATTAATTTGTATGGGTTACATTTAGACGAGTCCAGTGACACGTGTGAGGGTTGTAGAGCCAAATGGAGAACACCATCATGTTTGTTAGTCTCCCCTTTCTACAGTGGGGTCATATTAGTTTGTAGGCCAAACGGTTTGGACACTACAGACAAACGTTGGTACGTCAGCGTTATTGACTTCAGACAAGTCCAGAGACAAACTGTTCGGATGCTACAGACGTTTTCGTGAGAAGACCGATTTTCGGGATGTCTCCTGGTCTGACAAACAGCGCTGTAGCTCTGCCACTTTCCACCTCAGATGTGGAAAGGTGACATAGACGATGGATTGTGATGGGGATGCACCGGTGCATCAATAGACTAAACTTTGCAAATAATGAAATAGTTAATTATAATTTATACTTATTTATAATTTTCAACTTTATTCATGAAAGTTGTTATAAATTGTTACTCAAAATTCAACTCAACTGTCAAGGCTAGACACCGAGCTAACCTCCAGCCTCTCTCTCTGTCCTCCCCAGCTCACCACTCTCCGAGGGGCCATCCTGGAGGATGCCGTGCCCTCCACTGCCAAGCATGGCATGGCCAGGGGCCTACCGCTGAAGGAGGTGCTGGAGTATGTGGTCCCAGAGCTGAACATCCAGTGTCTCAGGCTGGCCACCAGCTCACCCAAGGTCCCTGAGCAGCTCCTCAAGCTGGACCAACAGGGGGTGAGTGATCATAGACATACAGTCGCTAGTGAAAGTTTCCACACCCCTTGCTGTCTTCACATTTTGCTGGCTTATAATTGAATCTAAAAGGTAATAAACCTACTCCACATTTTCAAAATTAAAATATTTATTTTCACCGGTTGTGTGTGTGTGTGTGTGTGTGTATATATGTATATATATATGTATATATATATATATATATATATATATATATATATATATATATATATATATATATATATATATATATATATATATATATATATATATATATACATATATATATATACATACATACATACAGTGGGGAGAACAAGTATTTGATACACTGCCGATTTTGCAGGTTTTCCTAATTACAAAGCATGTAGAGGTCTGTCATTTTTATCATATGTACACTTCAACTGTGAGAGACGGAATCTAAAACAAAAATCCAGAAAATCACATTGTATGATTTTTAAGTAATTCATTTGCATTTTATTGCATGCCATAAGTATTTGATACATCAGAAAAGCAGAACTTAATATTTGGTAGAGAAACCTTTGTTTGCAATTATAGAGATCATACGTTTCCTGTAGGTCTTGACCAGGTTTGCACACACTGCAGCAGGGATTTTGGCCCACTCCTCCATACAGACCTTCTCCAGATCCTTCAGGTTTCGGGGCTGTCGCTGGGCAATACAGACTTTCAGCTCCCTCCAAAGATTTTCTATTGTGTTCAGGTCTGGAGACTGGCTAGGCCACTCCAGGACCTTGAGATGCTTCTTACGGAGCCACTCCTTAGTTGCCCTGGCTGTGTGTTTCGGGTCGTTGTCATGCTGGAAGAACCAGCCACGACCCATCTTCAATGCTCTTACTGAGGGAAGGAGGTTGTTGGCCAAGATCTCGCGATACATGGCCCCATCCATCCTCCCCTCAATACGGTGCAGTCGTCCTGTCCCCTTTGCAGAAAAGCATCCCCAAAGAATGATGTTTCCACCTCCATGCTTCACGGTTGGGATGGTGTTCTTGGGGTTGTACTCATCCTTCTTCTTCCCCCAAACACGGCGAGTGGAGTTTAGACCAAAAAGCTCTATTTTTGTCTCATCAGACCACATGACCTTCTCCCATTCCTCCTCTGGATCATCCAGATGGTCATTGGCAAACTTCAGACGGGCCTGGACATGCGCTGGCTTGAGCAGGGGGACCTTGCGTGCGCTGCAGGATTTTAATCCATGACGGCGTAGTGTGTTACTAATGGTTTTCTTTGAGACTGTGGTCCCAGCTCTCTTCAGGTCATTGACCAGGTCCTGCCATGTAGTTCTGGGCTGATCCCTCACCTTCCTCATGATCATTGATGCCCCACAAGGTGAGATCTTGCATGGAGCCCCAGACCGAGGGTGATTGACCGTCATCTTGAACTTCTTCCATTTTCTAATAATTGCACCAACAGTTGTTGCCTTCTCACCAAGCTGCTTGCCTATTGTCCTGTAGCCCATCCCAGCCTTGTGCAGGTCTACAATTTTATCCCTGATGTCCTTACACAGCTATCTGGTCTTGGCCATTGTGGAGAGGTTGGAGTCTGTTTGATTGAGTGTGTGGACAGGTGTCTTTTATAAAGGTAATGAGTTCAAAACAGGTGCAGTTAATACAGGTAATGAGTGGAGAACAGGAGGGCTTCTTAAAGAAAAACGAACAGGTCTGTGAGAGCCGGAATACTTACTGGTTGGTAGGTGATCAAATACTTATGTCATGCAATAAAATGCAAATTAATTACTTAAAAATCATACAATGTGATTTTCTGGATTTTTGTTTTAGATTCTGTCTCTCACAGTAGAAATGTACCTATGATAAATATTACAGAACTCTACATGCTTTGTAAGTAGGAAAACCTGCAAAATTGGCAGTGTATCAAATACTTGTTCTCCCCACTGTATATATATATACACACGTGTGGGTGTGTGTGTGTATATATATATATATATATATATATATATACATACACATACACATACATACAGTGAGGGAAAAAAGTATTTGATCCCCTGCTGATTTTGTACGTTTGCCCACTGACTAAGAAATGATCAGTCTATAATTTTAATGGTAGTTTTATTTGAACAGTGAGAGACAGAATAACAACCAAAAAATCCAGAAAAACGCATGTCAAAAATGTTATAAATTGATTTGCATTTTAATGAGGGAAATAAGTATTTGACCCCCTCTCAATCAGAAAGATTTCTGGCTCCCAGGTGTCTTTTATACAGGTAACGAGCTGAGATTAGGAGCACACTCTTAAAGGGAGTGCTCCTAATCTCAGCTTGTTACCTGTATAAAAGACACCTGTCCACAGAAGCAATCAATCAATCAGATTCCAAACTCTCCACCATGGCCAAGACCAAAGAACTCTCCAATGATGTCAGGGACAAGATTGTAGACCTACACAAGGCTGGAATGGGCTACAAGACCATCGCCAAGCAGCTTTGTGAGAAGGTGACAACAGTTGGTGCGATTATTCGCAAATGGAAGAAACACAAAATAACTGTCAATCTCCCTCGGCCTGGGGCTACATGCAAGATCTCAACTCGTGGAGTTGCAATGATCATGAGAACGGTGAGGAATCAGCCCAGAACTACACGGGAGGATCTTGTCAATGATCTCAAGACAGCTGGGACCATAGTCACCAAGAAAACTATTGGTAACACACTACGCCGTGAAGGACTGAAATCCTGCAGTGCCTGCAAGGTCCCCCTGCTCAAGGTCCCCCTGCTGAAGTTTGCCAATGAACATCTGAATGATTCAGAGGAGAACTGGGTGAAAGTGTTGTGGTCAGATGAGACCAAAATCGAGCTCTTTGGCATCAACTCAACTCGCCGTGTTTGGAGGAGGAGGAATGCTGCCTATGACCCCAAGAACACCATCCCCACCGTCAAACATGGAGGTGGAAACATTTTGCTTAGGGGGTGTTTTTCTGCTAAGGTGACAGGACAACTTCACCGCATCAAAGGGACGATGGACGGGGCCATGTACCGTCAAATAATAATAATATAATAATATAATAATATGCCATTTATCAGACGCTTTTATCCGAAGCGACTTACAGTCATGCGTGCATACATTTTTACTTATGGGTGGTCGCGGGGATCAAACCCACTACCCTGGCGTTACAAGCGCCGTGCTCTACCAATTGAGCTACAGAGGACCACCAAATCTTGGGTGAGAACCTCCTTCCCTCAGCCAGGGCATTGAAAATGGGTCATGGATGGGTATTCCAGCATGACAATGACCCAAAACACATGGCCAAGGCAACAAAGGAGTGGCTCAAGAAGAAGCACATTAAGGTCCTGGAGTGGCCTAGCCAGTCTCCAGACCTTAATCCCATAGAAAATCTGTGGAGGGAGCTGAAGGTTCGAGTTGCCAACCGTCAGGCTTGAAACCTTAATGACTTGGAGAAGATCTGCAAAGAGGAGTGGGACAAAATCCCTCCTGAGATGTGTGCAAACCTGGTGGCCAACTACAAGAAACATCTGACCTCTGTGATTGCCAACAAGGGGTTTGCCACCAAGTACTAAGTCATGTTTTGCAGAGGGGTCAAATACTTATTTCCCTCATTAAAATGCAAATCAATTTATAACATTTTTGACATTTATTTTTCTTGATTTTTTTGTTGTTATTCTGTCTCTCACTGTTCAAATAAACCTACCATTACATTTATAGACTGATCATGTCTTTGTCAGTGGGCAAACGTACAAAATCAGCAGGGGATCAAATACTTTTTTCCCTCACTGTATATATACTGCTCAAAAAAATAAAGGGAACACTTAAACAACACAATGTAACTCCAAGTCAATCACACTTCTGTGAAATCAAACTGTCCACTTAGGAAGCAACACTGATTGACAATAAATTTCACATGCTGTTTTGCAAATGGAATAGACAACAGGTGGAAATTATAGGCAATTAGCAAGACACCCCCAATAAAGGACTGGTTTTGCAGGTGGTAACCACAGACCACTTCTCAGTTCCTATGCTTCCTGGCTGATGTTTTGGTCACTTTTGAATGCTGGCGGTGCTTTCACTCTGGTGGTAGCATGAGACGGAGTCTACAACCCACACAAGTGGCTCAGGTAGTGCAGCTCATCCAGGATGGCACATCAATGCGAGCTGTGGCAAGAAGGTTTGCTGTGTCTGTCAGCGTAGTGTCCAGAGCATGGAGGCGCTACCAGGAGACAGGCCAGTACATCAGGAGACGTGGAGGAGGCCATAGGAGGGCAACAACCCAGCAGCAGGACTGCTACCTCCGCCTTTGTGCAAGGAGGAGCAGGAGGAGCGCTGCCAGAGCCCTGCAAAATGACCTCCAGCAGGCCACAAATGTGCATGTGTCTGCTCAAATGGTCAGAAACAGACTCCATGAGGGTGGTATGAGGGCCCGACGTCCACAGGTGGGGGTTGTGCTTACAGTCCAACACTGTGCAGGACGTTTGGCATTTGCCAGAGAACACCAAGATTGGCAAATTCGCCACTGGCGCCCTGTGCTCTTCACAGATGAAAGCAGGTTCACATTGAGCACGTGACAGACGTGACAGAGTCTGGAGACACCGTGGAGAACGTTCTGCTGCCTGCAACATCCTCCAGTATGACCGGTTTGGCGGTGGGTCAGTCATGGTGTGGGGTGGCATTTCTTTGGGGGGGCCGCACAGCCCTCCATGTGCTCGCCAGAGGTAGCCTGACTGCCATTGGGTACCGAGATGAGATACCCCTTGTGAGACCATATGCTGGTGCGGTTGGCCCTGGGTTCCTCCTAATGCAAGACAATGCTAGACCTCATGTGGCTGGAATGTGTCAGCAGTTCCTGCAAGAGGAAGGCATTGATGCTATGGACAGCCCGTTCCCCAGACCTGAATCCAATTGAGCACATCTGGGACATCATGTCTCGCTCCATCCACCAACGCCACATTGCACCACAGACTGTCCAGGAGTTGGCGGATGCTTTAGTCCAGGTCTGGGAGGAGATCCCTCAGGAGACCATCCGCCACCTCATCAGGAGCATGCCCAGGCGTTGTAGGGAGGTCATACAGGCACGTGGAGGCCACACACACTACTGAGCCTCATTTTGACTTGTTGTAAGGACATTACATCAAAGTTGGATCAGCCTGTAGTGTGGTTTTCCACTTTAATTTTGAGGGTGACTCCAAATCCAGACCTCCATGGGTTGATACATTTGATTTCCATTGATAATTTTTGTGTGATTTTGTTGTCAGCACATTCAACTATGTAAAGAAAAAAGTATTTAATAAGATTATTTCATTCATTCAGATCTAGGATGTGTTATTTTAGTGTTGCCTTTATTTTTTGGAGCAATGTGTGTGTGTGTATATATATATATATATATATATATGTGTGTATATATATATATATATATGTGTGCAATGTGTGTGTGTATATATATATATATATGTATATATATATATATATATATACACACACACACACACACACACACACACACACACACACACACACACACAGACAGACAGAGTACCAGTCAAAGGTTTGGACATACCTACTCGTTCAAGGGTTTTTCTTTATTTTTACTATTTTCTACATTGTGGAATAATAATGAAGACATCAAAACTATGAAATAACACATATGGAGACATATCTGAGATTCTTCAAAGTAGCCACCCTTCGCCTTGATGACAGCTTTGCACACTCTTGGCATTCTCTCAACCAGTTTCATGAGGATTGCTTTTCCAACAGTCGTGAAGGAGTTCCCACATATGCTGTGCACTTGTTGGCTGTTTTTCGTTCACTCTCTGATCCAACTCATCCCAAACCATCTCAATTGGGTTGAGGTCGGTTGATTGTGGAGGCCAGGTCATCTGATGCAGCACTCCATCACTCTCCTTCTTGGTCAAATAGTCCTTACACAGCCTGGAGGTATGTTTTGGGTCATTGTCCTGTTGAAAACAAAAACAAATGATAGTCCCTGTAAGCACAAACCAGATGGGATGGCGTATCGCTGCAGAATGCTGTGGTAGCCATGCTGGTTACGTGTGCCTTGAATTCTAAATAAATCGTACATTGTCACCAGCAAAGCCCCCCCACACCATCACACCTCCTCCTCCATGCTTCATGGTGGGAACCACACATGCGGAGATCATCCATTCACCTTCTCTGCGTCTCACAAAGACACCGCGGTTGGAACCAAAAATCTCAGATTTAGACTCATCAGACCAAAGGACAGATTTCCACCGGTCTAATGTCCATTGCTCATGTTTCTTGGCCCAAGCAGGTCTCTTCGTCTTATTGGTGTCCTTTAGTAGTGTTTTTTTGTAGCAATTTGACCATGAATGCCTGATTCACGCAGTCTCCTCTGAACATTTGATGTTGAGATGTGTCTGTTACTTGAACTCTGTGAAGCATTTATTTGGGCTGCAATCTGAGGTGAAGTTAACTCTAATGAACTTATACTTAACTCTGGGTCTTCCTTTCCTGTGGTGGCCCTCATGAGAGCCAGTTTCATCATAGCGCTTGATGGTTTTTGCGACCGCACTTGAAGAAACTTTAAAAGTTCTTCAAATTTTCCAGATTGATTGACCTTGATGTCTTACAGTAATGATGGACTGTCGTTTCTCTTTGCTTATTGGAGCTGTTCTTACCATATTATGTACTTGATCTTTTACCAAATAGGCATATCTTCTGTATACCACCCCTACCTTGTCACAACACAACTGATTGGCTCAAACGCATTAAGAAGGAAATAAATTCCACAAATTAACGTTTAACAAGGCACACCTGTTAATTGAAATGCATTTCAGGTGACTACCTCATGAAGCTGGTTGAGAGAATGCCAAGAGTGTGCAAAGCTGTCAAGGAAAAGGGTGGCTACTTTGAATAACCTCAAATATAAAATATATTTTGATTTTGTTTTACACTTTTTTTGGTTACTACATGATTCCATATGTGTTATTTCATAGTTTTTATGTCATATATATATATATATATATATATATATATATATATATATATATATATATATATATATATATACACACAGTGGGGAGAACAAGTATTTGATACACTGCCGATTTTGCAGGTTTTCCTACTTACAAAGCATGTAGAGTTCTGTAATATTTATCATAGGTACACTTCTACTGTGAGAGACAGAATCTAAAACAAAAATCCAGAAAATCACATTGTATGATTTTTAAGTAATTAATTTGCATTTTATTGCATGACATAAGTATTTGATCACCTACCAACCAGTAAGTATTCCGGCTCTCACAGACCTGTTCGTTTTTCTTTAAGAAGCCCTCCTGTTCTCCACTCATTACCTGTATTAACTGCACCTGTTTTGAACTCATTACCTTTATAAAAGACACCTGTCCACACACTCAATCAAACAGACTCCAACCTCTCCACAATGGCCAAGACCAGAGAGATGTGTAAGGACATCAGGGATAAAATTGTAGACCTGCACAAGGCTGGGATGGGCTACAGGACAATAGGCAAGCAGCTTGGTGAGAAGGCAACAACTGTTGGCGCAATTATTCGAAAATGGAAGAAGTTCAAGATGACGGTCAATCACTCTCGTGCTGGGGCTCCATGCAAGATCTCACCTCGTGGGGCATCAATGATCATGAGGAAGTTGAGGGATCAGCCCAGAACTACACGGCAGGACCTGGTCAATGACCCGAAGAGAGCTGGGACCACAGTCTCAAAGAAAACCATTAGTAACACACTACGCCGTCATGGATTAACATCCTGCAGTGCACGCAAGGTCCCCCTGCTCAAGCCAGCGCATGTCCAGGCCCGTCTGAAGTTTGCCAATGACCATCTGGATGATCCAGAGGAGGAATGGGAGAAGGTCATGTGGTCTGATGAGACAAAAATGGAGCTTTTGGGTCTAAACTCCACTCGCCGTGTTTGGAGGAAGAAGAAGGATGAGTACAACCCCAAGAACACCATCCCAACCGTGAAGCATAGAGGTGGAAACATCATTCTTTGGGGATGCTTTTCTGCAAAGGGGACAGGACAACTGCACCGTATTGAGGGGAGGATGGATGGGGCCATGTATCGCGAGATCTTGGCCAACAACCTCCTTCCCTCAGTAAGAGCATTGAAGATGGGTTGTGGCTGGGTCTTCCAGCATGACAACGACCCGAAACACACAGCCAGGGCAACTAAGGAGTGGCTCCGTAAGAAGCATCTCAAGGTCCATGAGTGGCCTAGCCAGTCTCCAGACCTGAACCCAATAGAAAATCTTTGGAGGGAGCTGAAAGTCCGTATTGCCCAGCGACAGCCCCGAAACCTGAAGGATATGGAGAAGGTCTGTATGGAGGAGTGGGCCAAAATCCCCCTTGAAGTGTGTGCAATCCTGTTCAAGACCTACACGAAACATATGATCTCTGTAATTGCAAACAAAGGTTTCTGTACCAAATATTAAGTTCTGCTTTTCTGATGTATCAAGTACTTATGTCATGCAATAAAATGCAAATTAATTACTTAAAAATCATACAATGTGATTTTCTGGATTTTTGTTTTAGATTCTGTCTCTCACAGTTGAAGTGTACCTATGATAAATATTACAGACCTCTACATGCTTTGTAAGTAGGAAAACCTGCAAAATCGGCAGTGTATCAAATACTTGTTCTCCCCACTGTGTGTGTGTGTATATATATATATATATATATATATATATATATATATATATATATATATATACACACACACACACACACACACACACACACACACACACACACACACACACACACACACACACACACACACACACACACACACACAGACAGAGAGTTAATACACTTACATTTACATTTAATACTTGGTGAAAGCACCTTTTGCAGCCATTGCAGCTGTGAATCATTTTGAATTAGATTCTACCAACTTTGCACAACTCTTAGGTCAACATTTATCCATTGTTTTTGTCAAAATAGTAAATTTGGTTGGGAGTCATTGATGGGCAGCAATACTCAAACCTTTCTGGTTTTTGGCATTGAAAATGGTGTAATTAACCCACTGAAAAATAACATTTCTACCCCAGGGTTAGGTTTGCAGAAGAACAAACTCCCTTTTCTTGGCATCACCTTTCTGCTGACCTCAGGGCAGTTAAATTGATTTAATGGATGTAGTTAAGCTCGCTTAAAGTTAATGGAAGTACTGATGGAGCTTCATAATAAAGCCACAGGTCAATGCAAAAGGTTCTAGCCTGCTTTACATGGCAACATTGCTATTGTAGAGCATGGCGCTTGCAATGCCAAGATAATGGGTTCTATTCCCTGGACCAACAATACCCCCCAGAAAATGTTGCATGCATCACTGTAATTCGGTTTGGATTAAAGCATCTGCTAAATGTTATATATTATTATACACCCCCCGGGAAACTGTTTAGCGGGGAAAAACCCAGGAGTTTGCAGCGTTGCAGTTTTTGACACAAACCTGTGCGCCTTGCACCTACTACCATGCCCCATTCAAAGTCACTTAATTATTTTGTCTTGGCCATTAACCCTCTGAATGGCACGCATACACAGTCCATGTCTCCAAGGCGTAAAAATCATTTTTTAACCTGTCCTCCTCCCCATCATCTACACTGATTTGAAGTGGATTTAACAGGTGACATCAATAAGTGATCAGAGCTTATAAATGTGAACGAAGTGTTGACAGTGTTGAATAACAACTTAAAGTGCACACCGTCAACAGCGCGAAACAATACAAAAAAATAGGATCGCAAGGCTTTATCTTGTTGTTGGGTTATTACAGAAATGTTTGGTGATCGACTAGGAATGCCTTGGTACTCCTGAGTGGCGCAGTGGTCTAAGGCACTGCATCGCAGTGCTAACTGTGCCACTAGAGATCCTGGTTCGAATCCAGGCTCTGTCGCCGCCGGCCGCGACCGGGAGACTCATGGGCGGCGCACAATTGGCCCAGCGTCGTCCAGGGTAGGGGAGGGAATGGCCGGCAGGGATGTAGCTCAGTTGATAGAGCATGGCGTTTGCAACGCCAGGGTTGTGGGTTCGATTCCCACGGGGGGCCAGTATAAAAAAATATATATGTAAGTCGCTCTGGATAAGAGCGTCTGCTAAATGACTAAAATGTAAAATGTAAATGTAAATGAGATTGACCAGTCAATCGCGATTGACCGGTTGGTGACCACTGGTCTAAAAGAAACAAATAGTTTCTTAGCAAAGAGCAATTTCTCAAGCAATAATTTTGCTAGGACTGTCTGGGAGTGGTCTGAGTGAGGAGGGGTAAACTAAAAATTTGATGTTATTGGCACAGAGGTTTGGAAATACTTTTTTGGTCTATTAACTAATTTACCGCCTGGTGATGTAACCAGGCAGGCCAAAACTCTATCCCACAAAAACCTCCAGACATTTCTGGCGGTCTTTTCACATAGCTCTTACACTAAAAGGGCATTATCATTGTCACAATTTCACAGTATTATTCCAACCTCCATAGTCTGGAAATATATATAAAACACAGGATTTTGACTGCATTGGGCCTTTTAATGTGACTCGTAAATGACTAAGGTATTTGTACTGCAATTGAGTGCACAATATGACACATCCTACTACAATCACGTATGTTATACGTCACTGTTGTCACAAGTAAGTATTTCCGCTTACAACAAGGGATTACACTGCAGATTTTGATTGCTTTACTGTATTCAGCAAAAACCCAGATTTGTAGTTTGCTGTTTTCGAGTCCTTATCATCAATCAAGCCCTTATGGATTTAGCATACTGCCTTTCGGGCTATGTCTGGCACAGCGAGAAATCAGGAAATGGTACAAATACGCAACTCACCACTCAGTCAGAGACTTTAATGAAATGTATTTTCTCCATTTGACTGCCATGCAAAGAAATCAAATTGCCACCGTCTGAGGGGCTTTTCCCATTCTAGTAATTATATTTCTATGTGTCCATGTCTCCGATATCTAGTATCAATATCGTGGAATATTCACTCAACTCTGGACAGGGGAAAAACAATAAGCGGTATTGCCGTGTAACTGGATTTCTGGGTAACCCGAGACGTGCATCGAGACAGATCGATCCCTAAAGCATGTAACAGCAGGGGGAGAAATGGCATCGGGGTGCAATAACGGAGTATTGATAAGATCAAGTTTCATACAAGCCTCTTTCATTTGGGGAGCATGACGGGTGGTTTGTAAATCTATTGGAGAGCAAAGCTGGCGAGAGATGAGGAGGGGGAATCTTGACCTCAAGGAATGTCTAGGGGTCACATCTCTTACTCCTCAATTCGATTAAGTTAAATTCCATGTTCCTTAATTCAATTAAGTTTAATTACATTACATTTCATTGATGTGATATTCATAATATCATAATGAGCTTTCACCGGTTATATCTACTGCAAGTAGGACTGGAATGCTATTATTCCCCCCATGGGTCTCCCGAGTGGCGCAGTGGTCTAAGGCACTGAATTGCAGTGCTAGCTGTGCCACTAGAGATCCTGGTTCGAATCCAGGCTCTGTCGTAGCCGGCCGCGACCGGGAGACCCATGGGGCGGCGCACAATTGGCCCAGCGTCGTCCAGGGTAGGGGAGGGAATGGCCGGCAGGGATGTAGCTCAGTTGATTGAGCATGGCTTTTGCAACGCCAGGGTTGTGGGTTAGATTCCCACGGGGGGCCAGTATGAAAAATAAAGAAAAATAATGTATGCACTGGATAAGAGCGTCTGACTAAAATGTAAATGTAATTGTTTTAGCTACTCGGTAAGCAACCGTGGAGCTACGTAGTGAAGACAACCATCAATGGCAGTCTAACTTCGCTTTACCAGCAGTACTTCCCCCATCCCCCTCAAGTGTAAATCATTTACTAATCCAAAACAATATGGCCTTGCCTCCCACTGAATTTTTGCAGTGTTGCCACGACAACTGCCGTGGCGGCACCACGAGGCAAGCCCCTTTATTTCCTGTGTTAGGAGAGTTGGAAAGAGACCAGCCAAGCAAATTGAGACTTTTCTCGATTTAATAAATTTTTCTTTGACCGCTCGTCTCATGTTGCCTAGCTGTCAGCAGTGGGCTCCCCCACTGTCTTGTTATGAGGACCTTCTTTGAGGTTCGCAAGGGTCTGCTGATCCTGGTCTCGCGCGCACACACACACAACCTCCCCAATCCTCCCCCACACACAAAAAAACCTTTACATCCTATAGCATTTCTAAGATTAATAAATTATTCAGGACCAACCGTTAGGTGTTGTCTGAGGGCCACTCACACTGTAATTACTTCCTCTTTTGTGTGTCCACTCCTCTGTTCAGATTGATAGCACAGTTAGCGCTAGCTATCTCAGCACCAGGTGTCAGGTAATAGGTATTGATAGCAGGAGATCAAATGCACTGAGCTGGTAAAACGCTTGGTTTATCCCTCCCTCCCTGAGTGCTTACAGGGGCGTTTCAGTCTAATTTTACACCGTATACCAGTGCCGGCAACCGTCTCTGACTCTACAGAGCATTTCAATCGAGTGTAGATCAGGAGGAATGCGTTGTTGAATACTGTATGTCCCATCTCAGTGTTGCGCTGAAATAATGTCTTATGAAAAATTGCACCTGCTATAATTTGGTAATGAGCCCAAACATTTTGAGAAATGTTTCACAAGCGTTATGCCAGTTCTTATATGATCTGAATTGAGATAAAAAAAAATACTTATTTATTATTGTATAATAAACAGACATTAGGTAGACATAGGCAGGTCATAACCCCAGGTTATAACCCACCTCTCTATTACAAGGTTCTTCCACCCATTAGCATGGCATAAACAGATATTGGGCAGACATTGGCATGTCATAACCCCACTTCTATTGTTCTTTGTGGTTCCAGTTGAGCTTCCAGCACAAGGTGGGCATTATGTACTGCCAGGCGGGCCAGAGCACCGAAGAGGAGATGTACAACAATGAGAGTGCTAGCCCTGCTCTGGAGGAGTTCATGGAGCTGCTAGGCCAGAGAGTCAGGCTGAAGGGCTTCACCAAGTACCGGGCCCAGCTGGACAACAAAAGTAAGAGTCCACGACTCAACACACACATAATTTGTTTATATATTTTATTATCATTTTATTTATCATATGCTTGATAAATGTGCAGTAAGTTATGTAGATCAGGGCCCAGCTGGACACATACAGTACATCACCTTGTACAGTCCAACTGAAAAGAATAATAATGCAGTTTTGAATGATTTATCTTTTGATAGGAGCAAACTTGGAAGTTAGTCCTTTACTGTGTTAGAAAACATTTGGTAGATTGCACATAACCATTTAAAAAAAAGTCAATTTCTCTCTGTGCACTGAAAAATGCTTCAAAATGCGTTACATGGCCAGGTTTTCTTTGAACGGTGCAAACGTAATAAGATTGAAAAAAGAAATGATACACATAAGTGCCTTAGAGTTTTTTGGTAATGCAGCAAAGGACTACCTTCCAAGTTTGTTCCTATCAGTCAATACCTGTTTCCAAAGAGAACTGTTCCGCCAAACCCACGCAGCTCCTACCCTTTGTTTCTCTTTCGCTTTGAAAGTCTGAAGTATGTGAAACAAGTCATAATTGAATATGAAAACCGAGCCACTGTATATGGAGAAATGCCCAAGGTCTATGGAGGTACTGTATGAGTTTGGCCAACTTCAGATCTGTTGTTGCCTTCTGCTTAATGCTGGCAACACCTGAGTTATGGGACTGATTCCCACATGGGCCATATATCCATACATATATACAGACAGGCAACAATTTCAAAGATTTTACTGATTACAGTTCATATTAAGAAATCAGTCAATTGAAATAAATTCATTAGTCCCTAATCTATGGCTTTCACATGACTGGTCAGGGTTGCAGCCATGGGCGGGCATAGGCCCACCCACTGGGCAGCCATGCCCAGCCAGACGATCCCGCAGGTGAAGAAGCCGGATATGGACGTCCTGGCCTGGCGTGGTTTCCCGTGGTCTGCGGTTGTGAGGCCTGTTGAACGTACTGCCAAATTCTCTAAAACGACGTTGGAGGCAGTTTATGGTAGTGAAATGAACATTCAATTATCTGGCAACAGCTCTGGTGGACATTCCTGCAGTCATTTTAGAGTGACCTTTTATTGTCCCCAGCATAAGCTGCACCTGTGTAATTATCATGCTGTTTAATCAGCTTCTTGATATGCCACACCTGTCAGGTGGATGGATTATTTTGGCAAAGGAGAAATGCTCACTAACAGGGTGTCACGAACCGGCTCAAGTTCGTAACAAAAGGGAGACACGTGGAGACAAGGAGTACTCAAAGTATATATTTATTAATTAAAGTAAACTGACTGAAATAACAATGGGGTGTGTAATCAGTAATCAGTAGTGTAAGTGAGTGTTTGCTTGCATAAATGTAATATAGAAAAGTGTTGAGAAGTGCCAAAGCAAACAACCCAAAAAGGCCACAAAAATATCACAACCAAAATCAAAGTATCTGCCTGGAGAGAGTCTCCTCAATGAATGTGGAAAAGGTCCATTTATGCTGGGACACACCCGGCCCAGGTGTTTCCCATGTAGCTGACGACCCTCCCAACTCCGCCCACCGGCATCCTAATAAGGAAACAAGAGCAAAGAGAGAATACGGCAGACAGAGTGGGAGGGTCGTCACACAGGGATATAAACACATTTGTGCACAACATTTGAGAGAAATAAGCATTTTGTGCATTTGGAATATTTCTGGGATTTGTTCAATATTTTCAATATTTCTGGGATTCATGTAAAGTGTTGGTCCCATGTTTCATATTGCATTTACATTTTTGTTCAGTGTAAATTAATATAGATATATAGAGATCTATATTTATTTCTGCTGAAGTACAGGAATTTAGAAATACCCAGAAACATAGGGCAGTTCAGGCAAATGCAAGATGGGCTGGTCGCATGCACTCCATGCACTTCTCAGTTAAATTCCCCACTCTGCTTGGTGGAGAGGCAGTCTTTAGTTATTATGCCCCCAGCCTCTGGAATAGCCTACCAGAGAACCTGAGGGGGGCCGAAACTGTGGACATATTTAAGAGATCTTAAAACTAATCTTTTTAGCTTTGCTTTTCCTTAGGGTGCTTTTTAGTCATTCAGTTTTTGTCACTCTTTAGTTTTTATTCTTATGTTTGTTGTGTAGTAAATATTTCAGCTTTTATTTTCCTTGTTTTTTATTAGTTTTTTCCTGTGAAGCACATTGCGTTGCATTCCTGAAATGAGCTGTATAAATAAAGCTTGATTTGACTTGGTGTCTGTGAATATACCCGGGTGGGTCTTTCTATCTAGACCATAGCAACACTCTCTATAAATGAATTGTCATGTGTACCCTGTTGGTTCTATTTGCTTTGCAGTGTCTTGTGTAAAGCTCTTGGGAAAAGCATTCAGCATTCACTGTTTTTTGATTAATGGACTATTCTGGAGGTCTGAAATTCAGTTACAGGAATATAGATTTTAGGGCATCTTAAAGCTGTGTCTGTCTGTCAATCCTGGTTCCTGGAAAGAGAACGTGACATTTTGAAATACCATGAAACAGACTGGCGATAGGGCAAATGCAAGATTGGCTGGTCTGTCTTAAGCCCAGTGGGCCTGTGTACATTTGTACTTAAAAAAATAAAAAATAAATACTATTTGCGCAGTATTATCGTTATTTGACTCATAATGGGGCCTCAAGGAAACAAATGGACCGGTATTGTAGAAATGCCAATTTCTGGTCCCAGTCCGTCCCTGGCAATACCACAGGATTATTAGTGTAGTGTGCAATGATCTTATTGCAGATCATGTAATTTGGTATTGTTTTTCAGAGACTACAGTATTACATTATTTTCAATTCTATTGTTTAGAATGTCTCTGTCTGAGCTGCTCTGACCTAAATTCTTTGTTTGGGTGTTACAGCGGATTCCACTGGAACACATTCTCTTTACACTACTTACAAAGACTTTGAGCTGATGTTCCACGTGTCCACACTGCTCCCCTACACCCCCAACAACAGACAACAGGTGAGTGGACACACATACTGGAAGTCTATGGGTATCTGCTAGCATGCTAATAGATACCCGTAGACTTCCAGTCATTGCGCTAATGCTACCTCTAACGTCCTTCATACTGGACACAGATGCATAACATTTTTATTCAGAAGTTCATCTGACTTGGGAAAGTAGATAAAGGGCCTCATTGCCAAAATCCCAAAGTATCCCTTTAAAGCAGCACTAGTCAATCTGTGTCCACCCACAGTGGGCCCCCAACATTTGTGTAAGTATACTGAGAGACTGGTCTTGGCAAATGTCACTGAGGTATCTTAATATTGTTGTAACTGCCCTTAAAGCCAAAATGGACAGATTCAGGAGTGCTGCTTCAAATGAGCTATTTAACACTTTTTGATAATTAACACAAAGATCTAGTAGGCCAGATTTTCAAAACATTAAGGGCTGAATCAAAAGTTGATGTGCACATAACCCTCTTGAGTCAATTTCCGCGGTCCCGCTGAAATATAATTGGCATAATAAAACAATCCCCATCAAAATCTGTCTGTTTAAGATAGTATTTTTTGCATGGGGCTGTCTCAATCAACCGCATCCGCCAATGGTGGCCTTCCGCATGTGTGGTGGAAGGTGGCTGAGCTACAGCAGTGTTTGTCAGACCATGAGACATCCCGAAAATCGGTCTTCTCACGAAACTTCTGTAGCGTCCGAACGGTTTGGCCTAAAAAAATGAATATGACCCTCTACAGAAAGATTAGATTTATGAATACATACATGTCGGTTGTTTTACTCCACAAGACTCACCTGAAGGCAACCTGGTACCAGTTTAAAAAATGAATGGAAGTATACAGTTGAAGTCGGAAGTCATTAAAACTTGTTTTTCAACCACTCCACAAATTTCTTGTTAACAAACTATAGTTTTGGCAAGTCGGTTAGGACATCTACTTTGTGCATGACACAAGTAATTTTTCCAACAATTGTTTACAGACAGATTATTTCACTTATAATTCACTATATCACAATTCCAGTGGGTCAGAAGTTTACATACAGTGGGGGGAAAAAGTATTTAGTCAGCCACCAATTGTGCAAGTTCTCCCACTTAAAAAGATGAGAGAGGCCTGTAATTTTCATCATAGGTACACATCAACTATGACAGACAAAATTAGAAAAAAATATCCAGAAAATCACATTGTAGGATTTATAATGAATTTATTTGCAAATTATGGTGGAAAATAAGTATTTGGTCAATAACAAAAGTTTCTCAATACTTTGTTATATACCCTTTGTTGGCAATGACACAGGTCAAACGTTTTCTGTAAGTCTTCACAAGGTTTTCACACACTGTTGCTGGTATTTTGGCCCATTCCTCCATGCAGATCTCCTCTAGAGCAGTGATGTTTTGGGGCTGTCGCTGGGCAACACAGACTTTCAACTCCCTCCAAAGATTTTCTATGGGGTAGAGATCTGGAGACTGGCTAGGCCACTCCAGGACCTTGAAATGCTTCTTACGAAGCCACTCCTTCGTTGCCCGGGCGGTGTGTTTGGGATCATTGTCATGCTGAAAGACCCAGCCACGTTTCATCTTCAATGCCCTTGCTGATGGAAGGAGGTTTTCACTCAAAATCTCACGATACATGGCCCCATTCATTCTTTCCTTTACACGGATCAGTCGTCCTGGTCCCTTTGCAGAAAAACAGCCCCAAAGCATGATGTTTCCACCCCCATGCTTCACATTAGGCATGGTGTTCTTTGGATGCAACTCAGCATTCTTTGTCCTCCAAACACGACGAGTTGAGTTTTTACCAAAAAGTTCTATTTTGGTTTCATCTGACCATATGACATTCTCCCAATCCTCTTCTGGATCATCAAAATGCACTCTAGCAAACTTCAGACGAGCCTGGACATGTACTGGCTTAAGCAAGGGGACACGTCTGGCACTGCAGGATTTGAGTCCCTGGCGGCGTAGTGTGTTACTGATGGTAGGCTTTGTTACTTTGGTCCCAGCTCTCTGCAGGTCATTCACTAGGTCCCACCGTGTGGTTCTGGGATTTTTGCTCACCGTTCTTGTGATCATTTTGACCCCACGGGGTGAGATCTTGCGTGGAGCCCCAGATCGAGGGAGATTATCAGTGGTCTTGTATGTCTTCCATTTCCTAATAATTGCTCCCACAGTTGATTTCTTCAAACCAAGCTGCTTACCTATTGCAGATTCAGTCTTCCCAGCCTGGTGCAGGTCTACAATTTTGTTTCTGGTGTACTTTGACAGCTCTTTGGTCTTGGCCATAGTGGAGTTTGGAGTGTGACTGTTTGAGGTTGTGGACAGGTGTCTTTTATACTGATAAGTTCAAACAGGTGCCATTAATACAGGTAACGAGTGGAGGACAGAGGATCCTCTTAAAGAAGAAGTTACAGGTCTGTGAGAGCCAGAAATCTTGCTTATTTGTAGGTGACCAAATACTTATTTTCCACCATAATTTCCAAATAAATTCATTAAAAATCCTGCAATGTGATTTTCTGGAATTCTTTTTCTCAATTTGTCTGTCATAGTTGACGTGTACCTATGATGATA